TTAAAAATTTGCTTTTAGTAAGTAAAACTAAATGTTTAAAATTTTAAAATATAATACGTAATGTCTTATATTGTTATTTTTCTATTAATTTACTATATAATTAAGTTAATCGCCGTATAACTAAGATATCTTTATTAAACTTTTTAAATAAACGTATTACATTTTAAATATATTTATAGAAAACTTATATATTATTATTATTATTATACAGTACAGTACTTAAATAAATATTTATTTAACTTATATAAAGTTAAAAAATTAAATATAGATGTATAAATAACTCTATAAATCCATACCAAACTCTATATAAACAATAAACCATTTCTAGAAAATATATATTATCTAGGTTCAATTATATGTAAAATTAGCTTTAAGTATTCTTGAATTTAACAAAATTCCCTATAATACACAAATTTATTTTATTAAAATTATTAAATACTGAAGTAACTTATGGTATTGTTATATGATAAAATAAAGGAACGTATTAACAAAGGATATATAAATGAAAAGTTGTAAGAGAAATAAGTAATTTTGACATTATCTTATAAAAGATTTTTCAATTCTAAAATTTATAAATTAATATCAATTTAGTCAAAAATAGAAGCATTTAGACGTTTTCGTGCAATTCTTTAGCAGAGATAAGATAATAAGCCTTTGCTCTATTGGGGATTTAGCATGGATAGAACTTTGCTTCTCGGGGCATAGATGCTTTGTCAGATGGGATTGGGAAGATTAATGATCAACTGTATCGTTTCGGGAAGACTGCTTGTATCTTACATGTTTGTCCATTAGAGAATTTTATCTCTACGAACTGCATCAATGTGATACAAACAAGAATACTCACCAAGAAATCCACAATGTACGATAACAACTTTTGCTTGTTACAGTTACATTCATAACAGTACATATTAAAGAAAAAGTTGTAAGATTGATGTACGAATTTGCAAACATTTAAAAATTTTTGGTCTTTTTGTTTTTTTTTTTAAATAAATAAAATTCAGTTAAAAATAAAATTTTAATATTTAGATATAAAGAAAAAAAATTACAACGAAATAAGTAGAGTTTATTTATTTTTAATCTAAGATTTTAAGAAAGTTTAAATGTAAAGAAAAAAATAATTAAAATAAATGATAAATAAAGTATTATCTTGTTTTCTTTATTTTAGTTTTAAAAATAGTTTATTTTATAAAAGTGAAAATTAATTGAATTCGATAAAGATTTCCAATTCATGATAATTTTTTTTTTACTTAAAGATACTTCTCAATGCTTAAGTAACGTAAAATAGTTTTCGATATACGATCGTTTTTATGGAAGAAAAGTCTCAATTTAATATAACTAATGAAATTTCAAGGAAGAAGAAGAAGAGGAAGAAGAAAAAAAAAAGGAAAGTGATTATGATAATACACTCTCACCGAACAAAAAATTTAATCTGCAAAGATCTGAAACTAGTTTGTTTTTATTATATGGCATCAAAAGTAAATACTTTTTTCGCTATAAAGCAGAGTAAAGTTAAAGTTACTTTTGCAACTGTAGAGTTAAGAGCAGTAAATACAGCAGAGTAGAGTATTACGAGCTGTTTCATATCAACTGGAAACCTAAGTACAAGAGATAACTGAAGCGACAACTACAACACTGCTGACTCCAGATAGGTGGATGTGTTTCACGATAGATTACTGCCAAAATGTATACAATACATCCAACAGACCTTTCAGCATTTGTTTGCCCTTTATTTTCTGCTCATTTAATGTCAGTGGCATTATTAAAATAAATTAAATATCCTTAGTATCTTTATAATTAAATTTTCTATTAAAATTTGAATAACTTCTCTAGAAATTTGAAAGAGAAAAGCGTTATTGAATTTATTATTTCTGTGTAATTTGTAAAATTATAAGATGTTTGTTAAAATAATTTTTGGGAATTATATTTAATTATCTCTTTAAATTTTATAACTCGTTCGAAATTAGAAGGGATGTTATAAATCAATTGGTAATGTTAAATGACGTATCTTTACAAATCTATATATAGACACGCTCCATTAGATGAATTACTATTGCACATCATTCCAGTAATTCATTTTGAAACCCTAGAGACATTACATAACTTCGTACTTAATAATCATTTCTCTAAATTTGATTTTAAAGTGCACTTAAAAGATTGAAAATTTTAAAATTAAAAAATTATTAGCTGTAACTGAAAGGTCTATTGAACGGAATGATGATTAGTAATAAGCGCTAATGAGATCAATTGACTATAACAGTAAAGAAGGATCAATAAGGAGCAACGACAAATCAAGTGCGTCGGTAAGAAAGCCCACCATAAAGCAACCACTCCCAGAGCGCATTCCTATCACTGTGATTGATGTCTATATTTACTCGAGACCCTTGGTTCGATCTCAGTTATTAATCTCCCTCTGGTCTGTCTGCGAGAAAGAGAGACGTTTTGTCCGAAGTAGAAGATTTGTGGAGGACAGTTCACGCTGGCAACACATCACCTGTCAAAGATATTTTTGGCTCAGTTACGTGTAAGAAGAGATATATAACCTTCATAATTAACTTCAACGGGGAGGAAAACTTGTTGCAATTTGTACCGCCTCTTTAATAATGCGCTACTGTAATTGCCATATCTGTGTCTAACCTATGTATGTCTGCTTAGTTTGATAAGTTTATCGCCTTTTTAAAATATAAATTTATATGTCTTTATTTCTTACTTTTATCGTAGAATGATTTTTGTTTTCTTGCTTCGCTTCTGTAATTTGTCCCAAAAAAACTGCATTACTATAAGTGCAATATCTGTCCGTGTATGTTTCATTATAGTTGAGTTCGTGTAGTATTGATTTTCTACAGTTTAAAATGTTTTCTCAAACTTTATTTCCTATATTCTATGATTAATTTGGCTTTTTAATAATGCATTACATTGAATAGTTAGTATTTGTGCAGTCTAACAACCTTTTCACGCTACTTATAAATATTTTTTCTAAATTTAACATCGAATGTTTTTATTTAATTTAAAATATATTCTATCCACCTCAAATTAGTAGTGGCTTGCCCCTGTACATCATACTTTTCCTTTAACAATAGATTCGTGTCGGTCCTCTATCTAACATCTTTCAAGGGGAAAATTTTTGAATTGAAATAACGTATCTTCCAATTTTCGTTGGATATTTTTATATAGTTAATCTGGGCCTCCTGACTCAAAAGTTTCCAAATCTGGTCTCATCTTTTATCTATCTAACTCAGTTCTCGAGATTAAGGAGTGACAGACGAACGAACAGACGGACGGACGATAGTGGGACTTTATAAATCTACAATTTTTCCAAATTGCAGCCCAATTAATAAAAATTTTACTATATTACACTGAATAGTTTCTATTGAAGTAAAAGGCATTAATATTACTTATACTAAGAAAGCCTTATTAAATTTACTTTAACTAATTTGTACAAGTCGACCTCCCTATAACACTGTAGATAATCCCGTTTTATATGAATTCCATGTTGTACGAGTCACTTAGATTTTACAAATACGTGAGCCGTTCACAGCCCGGCACATGTATTTGTAAAATCTAAGTGACTCGTATAACACGGAATTCATATAAAACGGAATTATCTACAGTGTTATAGGGGGGTCGATTTGTATACTTTTTTAAACGTCTTTCCCAAATATTTTAGAATCTTCAACGAGTATAACTCTTTAATAATGGAAAAGTTTAAAATTTTTCAATTTATTCCAGAATTTAATTCAGAAACATTTAACTTATGGATTAAAATCCGATTGCTTCTGATTAATACTTCGATTAAAAATACATTAAAAAAAGTTTTTTTAAGTAGAAAAATTAAGAAATTTTATAAATTTTTATATTTTTCTTTAAGTTAATATAAAGAAGTATATANTAAAATTAAGTAGTAAGTAATTTTAAGTATTGGTAGACAGTCTGAATATAACAATACTGATGTTAGAGTAATGTTAGATTGGAATGATATCTGATCAAATAAAATCTTAGCTGCTAAAATTGTCACGAACTATTGCTATTTATTTGTTTTATGAATCGCTATTTCTTTGCAAGAAAAATTCATACTATTTGCTCTTGATTTTGTAGCCTCGATATGGGTTACGGAAAAAAAAAACAGACCAATCTGCTTGTTCCAAGGCATCTGTCAGAATAAAACTACAGTATTTCAAAATATCAGACTGATTGTTAATGCATGGATATTTATTAGATGGTGCATTGGTGGCTATTTATTTCCAAGATTCATATATATAGGTCTGGACACGATCCTTGAACCTTTGCGGCAGCGGCTGTTTTGGTGCTTAGGAATAGTATATACCCACACGAATGTTCCTGTGTGAGTCGGCTATATTTAAGTGCTCAAGATATGAAAGAATGGTTTATTGTGACACCAAATTGAAAATCCTCAGATGTTATATTATTTAGTTTTCCTGCAGATAAAAAAAAAAGCAAGATGGGTGTGCAGAACTGCAGATGGGATAACTAACTGAACATTCTAAACTGGGCACAATTGCAGATGAGGATGACATTGTTGGGACGTTAACAGAGCTGTAGAGCATATTGATAGGAACAAAAAAGTCAAAGGAACCGTGCCTCATGGAAATTTGTGAAGAACGCTCACTAGGGGGCGTCCCGTGCTACTAGTTTACTTATATGACTTAAGTGAGAAATATTGTCTAGACAAGTTAAATGAAATAAATTACTTTTAATTTTTAATAATTTCATAAATATAGAGATTATATACTTAAGCTCTTTAAGAAACTTTAGTAAATGATATTAATATTTCTTTTTTTTAAAAATAAAATATCATCTGTTAGATTGATATAGAAGTTAAGAAATTTGTAAATTAAATAAATTAAAACTTAATCTTTTAATGGTATTTTTTAAAGAAAAAAAAGTATATTAAATCTTTTAAATGTTCTCATATTTTTTTTTATTATTTTTATAAAAAAAATCTTTTACAAACTTAAATTTCTTCTCTTTTTTTTGCAGATAATAGTATTAGGTCGAACATTTCATCATTTTTAAAATGTCCAAATTACAATTTTTTGATTCCTCCTCTATTGAATGGCAAGCCACCCCCACCACCTTACAAAAGTATAAAGATGTCAAATCTCAATTGCTCATTTAATATTTATTCAAATAGAAAAATTAGAGATAAAAGAAATACTAAAACTCTCTCAGTTATAACTGGAAAAATGGTAACTATCAGATGTTTTACATCAGGAATCGAAATGAAAAATATTAAATGGGAAAAAGGTATGTTATTAATTACATTTTATGGACAATTTCTTCACTATTTTTTCTCCTAATTTTAAGACCTTACTTTCGATAAAAGAATATATATATATATTCCTCCTTTAATGTTCACTTAACTTTTTTCCTTTTCTATTGCTTTTTTTAAGTTGTTTTAAAATTATTTTTCGATCTTATATTTATATAAGAATGAGAATTCTTGCAATGTCAGCATGTTCTCAACCACCAAAGTATATTATTCGGCTTGGTTTCATTGATCTCTTTAATACAGTTAAGTTCAAAGGATTCAATTCTACTTTGATCTAATCAAAGAGATAGTTTTTACTTAACTATTTAAAATATTTTCAAGAGAAAGGTAAAAAGTGAATAACATCTGAATTTTTAAATAAAAAAAATCTTTTTTAGATTTTTACATATAATATTCTGTATAAAAGTAATTATTTTAAAAAAAGTTTAATTAAAATGTAACTTTACTGAAGTATGTTAATTTAAGTAGAAATTTAGTAGAAAGTTTCTGATTGAATTAAACAATAAATAAAGAACCAATAATCTATCGTATTTTTAAATAATCGATACGTCATATATGACGTCATTAATAAAACGGCTAATCACGTACAATTTTTTAAATCTAATCAAATTCTTGTATTAAATAAAATAGTAATAATGAATTATTTATATGCGATTTTGTTTCCAAAATTCAAATAATAAATTAAAATAACGATAGCTTTTCAAATCCTATTCAGTTATTATATAAATAAAATATAACACGAATACGAGAAACTTAATTAATTAAATTTCAAATTAATATCTCTACTATTATTGGACAGTATTTTGCTGACGTCATCAATAAAATTCAACAAGAATTTTTGAATTCGAATTTAAATGTCGCAAGCTCATTGATCGAGATCGGAGTGACGTCAAACAACTTAAAAACCAATAATTTTTCTAAGTTTAAAAAATATTAAATAGTAATTCGTTATTGGTTATCGTTAGTTACGTCAGTAAATTTGAATTATTTATTCATTTATTGATTGATATTTCGTAAAGAGAAAACTCATCGATTAAAAATTGAATTTTTTTCTGTATTTTTTTAAAATTCATTTGCAAGTTAAAAATTTTATTCTTTCAACTAAATTTTCATGAGTATTTTTATAATTCGTGAAAGTTATTTTCTTCTATCGATAAATTTTTGAAACTGGAACATATCCAAGTTAAATAATATTAGATTCCTTTCCATAATCAGGAATTTATCATCCTATGTGTTTAATACTTCCATTCTTTTTTCTTCCCCCCTTAAATCTAAATTATACTAAAATGCTAATAACGGCTATTATCTCCCTAATCAACTTAGAAGGTAATTTATTTTTGTTTGGTCGATCCCCTATTTAATCTGTTTTGAAATGAGGGATTATCTGTATATTAACGTTACGATCAAAATTTCTCATTAAATTTCTTCATGAATTTTTAAAATTGTTACACTCTTCTTATTCGATATCCTTCTTACGATCGCGTAATCTTTAATTATTCAAATTCTAGTTATTATTTTATTATTAGAGGCGGGTTAATCCGTTTGTGTGGATGAAAATGCAAATTGCTTTCGGCCTTTTTTCTTTTTCTTTTCCTCACTTAAGAATCTTTAAATTTTATACTGAAAAATCCACTCGAGAATTTAATCATGAATAAAAATTCTTCTTTTAATGTGTTCCAATTTGTTGTAATAATCTAACTTAGGGGTTGTTTTGATTGGATACGGTAAAGCAATATATATACAATCTGTTATGAAGAAATGCCTTCCAGGAGGACTTTCTGAGAAATTTGTTTCCTATTTAGGTGTAAAACACGTGAAGAAAACCGAGAAAATTGCACGTGGCCCGCTTGTTGGTCAGTCACAACTCCTGTGTTAGCCAGTGTTTTATATACCAGGAGTTTTATGTACTCAGCCACTGATGGTCATCTAACTTAGGAAGATGGACTTATTTATTCGAATGAAATTTTAACTTAAGTCTTGGCTCTTTACTACAAAAGAAGATAATTGCACTCGCAACATTATTTATTAATTTATTGACATTATTATTTATTGATAACAGTCATTGCATGTTTGGTTTTATATTCGAATAACAAAACCCTCAATGAGTGAGAAAAAGTCTCTTTGTATTATTAATGTAATAAAAAATGTTTAAAATTCGTAAATTGGAAATTATTTGTTGGGTAAAAAATGAAATAATTTCAAAAAATCCAAATTATTAAATTTGTCTGGAGTTAAAATAAGATATAATCCAAACTGTATCACAGATTTAAATTAAATTCCTATTCCTATACTTAAAATAAAAAGTACATTTCAAAGTGTATCGAATTCCTGCTACTTACACAAAAGCAATATTTGGCAACAAGTAGAGCTTCGTTTATCCGAAAGCCAATTATCCGAAAGAATTCCAGTCGGCAAATTTAAAATTTCGCCAGTGCTTTGGCGCTGCAATCTTTGGCTATGTCTTGGGCTACTCAAATATTTCACGTTTTTGATACTAAATTAACTTCTGAAGTATAATTTTTTATTGTTTTTAAANGAAAAAAAAATGAGGTCACGGCGCTCTTGATTGGCTTTTTATTTCTGCACGACGTCATCAGGATTATCTAGTTTTATTGGTTCTACACGAAATCGAAAATGACGTCATTTATCATTTTGATTGAAATATTGAAAAATTCAACATGACATCACTAAATAAAGTTATCTGTTCAATCCACAATTATTTTTTTCTCGCCATTAATTTTTCTTTTTAAAGTAGAAATAACTGTTTAAGTACGAAATAAAATTCATTTACGGCATCACAAAGAACAGAATTTTAGTTCATTCAACAGAAATTTTACTATCGTATTTAACGATAATCAAAGAAGTGTAAAAGAGAATAATGAAGGGAAATTATTGATGAAGATAGAGATAGAGAAAGAACACTCGAAAGCTTTCTTAGCTCTTATTTATTTTTATATTTTTTTAAATAGGACTATCTAGCAGATTTTCTCAATATTCAGTCTTTTGTGATAAAGAAACGAGAAGTAGGACAAGAAATGTTTCCAACGATTGAATTATTGCTACACGGTGTGTAGACACATTATAAATATTAGGTTACACAATCGATCGACAGGCCCCATCCTCTACTACTTTTATGATTGCCATATTCAATATGCAGTTAAGAAAACAATAACGTTGACATAGATGAACAAGTTTCAATATTAAAATTCCATAAGACCCGGATTAACTGTATTAATAATAAATCCTAAATATGTTTTTTTTTTTGGAAAAAATTTATTTTTACTTTGTTGTAGATATTGGAAATTCTATAAAGAAATCAAAAGAGATTCTTTTATGCTATTGTAATAATAATAATAAGCCACTGATGTAATTTGGTAATTTGAGGAATGATCTGTCTATATGACAAATTGTATAATTTTATTTTAATTCTTTTTAAACTTTACATATTTTATATACTATATTCTTTTGCTGTAAAAGTATATAAAATTACATGTATTTAAATTATAAATAATTTCGAAAAGTATATTATATAGATGAAATCATTCATTGAAGATGCAGATTATTCATCAAAGATAATGTAATTTGTAAAATGATCTTGTTTTGCTCAAAAACTACAGTTTCATTTTTGTCTGTTTCTCTATTAAATACATTATTATAAGTAACTCTGAAAAGTAAAATCGAAGTTTAGTAATGTAATTTTGTATCGACTCTGTACTTAAAGAGGCGTGTCATTGCTTTTTCATTATTTTCCATGTCTATATTTAGCAATTACTTTCTTCCTCAATTTACTATAGTGGAATAGCATCTAATACTGTTTTGATATTCAAGAACATTTATTATTTTAGTAGAGTATATGATTACAATNGACGTCATCAGGATTATCTAGTTTTATTGGTTCTACACGAAATCGAAAATGACGTCATTTAACATTTTGATTGAAATATTGAAAAATTCAACATGACATCACTAAATAAAGTTATCTGTTCAATCCACAATTATTTTTTTCTCGCCATTAATTTTTCTTTCTAAAGTAGAAATAACTTTTTAAGTACGAAATAAAATTCATTTACGGCATCACAAAGAGCAGAACTTTAGTTTATTTAACAGAAATTTTACTATCGTATTTAACGATAATCAAAGAAGTGTAAGAGAGAATTGAAGGGATATTATTGATGAAGATAGAGATAGAGAAAGAACACTCGAAAGCTTTCTTAGCTCTTATTTTTTTTTTATTTATTTTATTAAATAGGACTATCTAGCAGATTCTCTCAATATTCAGTCTTTTGTGATAAAGAAACGAGAAGTAGGACAAAAAATGTTTACAACGATTGAATTATTGCTACACGGTGTGTAGACACATTATAAATATTAGGTTACACAATCGATCGACAGGCCCCATCCTCTACTACTTTTATGATTGCCATATTCAATATGCAGTTAAGAAAACAATAACGTTGACATAGATGAACAAGTTTCAATATTAAAATTCCATAAGACCCGGATTAACTGTATTAATAATAAATCCTAAATATGTTTTTTTTTTTGGAAAAAATTTATTTTTACTTTGTTGTAGATATTGGAAATTCTATAAAGAAATCAAAAGAGATTCTTTTATGCTATTGTAATAATAATAATAAGCCACTGATGTAATTTGGTAATTTGAGGAATGATCTGTCTATATGACAAATTGTATAATTTTATTTTAATTCTTTTTAAACTTTACATATTTTATATACTATATTCTTTTGCTGTAAAAGTATATAAAATTACATGTATTTAAATTATAAATAATTTCGAAAAGTATATTATATAGATGAAATCATTCATTGAAGATGCAGATTATTCATCAAAGATAATGTAATTTGTAAAATGATCTTGTTTTGCTCAAAAACTACAGTTTCATTTTTGTCTGTTTCTCTATTAAATACATTATTATAAGTAACTCTGAAAAGTAAAATCGAAGTTTAGTAATGTAATTTTGTATCGACTCTGTACTTAAAGAGGCGTGTCATTGCTTTTTCATTATTTTCCATGTCTATATTTAGCAATTACTTTCTTCCTCAATTTACTATAGTGGAATAGCATCTAATACTGTTTTGATATTCAAGAACATTTATTATTTTAGTAGAGTATATGATTACAATCTCGTACATATATTTTTTTTTCATTAAAAAAAAGAATGAAGTATTAGTAATCAGTATTATTCAGGCATACTTAAACGTGCTTAAGATGCTTATTTATTCTTCTTGTTTTAAAGGTGATAATACTTAAAACAAGTTTCTAAACTTGAATATCAAAATATCACATCCTTAAGATAACACAATTATTCTCCACTCACTTCTAAAATTGTTTCCGCTTTCTTAATCTATGATTACACTTTGCGAATTTGATAACTAGAATGTTTTATGGGAGAATGATTTAGAATTCATGTTATGTCACATTTAATTATACTCTAGACTGTGTTTGTCATTTTGATGTTTAAAATTTCATTAACTGTTAATTATTCGTTTCTTTCTTGATTAAATTATCTACATTAGTTGCTACGTAACATATTTATTCNACACGAAATCGAAAATGACGTCATTTATCATTTTGATTGAAATATTGAAAAATTCAACATGACATCACTAAATAAAGTTATCTGTTCAATCCACAATTATTTTTTTCTCGCCATTAATTTTTCTTTTTAAAGTAGAAATAACTGTTTAAGTACGAAATAAAATTCATTTACGGCATCACAAAGAACAGAATTTTAGTTCATTCAACAGAAATTTTACTATCGTATTTAACGATAATCAAAGAAGTGTAAAAGAGAATAATGAAGGGAAATTATTGATGAAGATAGAGATAGAGAAAGAACACTCGAAAGCTTTCTTAGCTCTTATTTATTTTTATATTTTTTTAAATAGGACTATCTAGCAGATTTTCTCAATATTCAGTCTTTTGTGATAAAGAAACGAGAAGTAGGACAAGAAATGTTTCCAACGATTGAATTATTGCTACACGGTGTGTAGACACATTATAAATATTAGGTTACACAATCGATCGACAGGCCCCATCCTCTACTACTTTTATGATTGCCATATTCAATATGCAGTTAAGAAAACAATAACGTTGACATAGATGAACAAGTTTCAATATTAAAATTCCATAAGACCCGGATTAACTGTATTAATAATAAATCCTAAATATGTTTTTTTTTTGGAAGAAATTTATTTTTACTTTGTTGTGTAGATATTGGAAATTCTATAAAGAAATCAAAAGAGATTCTTTTATGCTATTGTAATAATAATAATAAGCCACTGATGTAATTTGGTAATTTGANTCATTTATTAAATTCATATGGAAATAAATCGTAATTAAAGTAAAAATTGTTTCATGTAGTCGAATTACATCATGTGTAGAAATCTTTTGGGATTTACACGTAACTGAACTCTGTTCATCCTACAATAATGATGATCTATGTTAGGTCAATATGTGTCTACTCTTAATATTTTTCCATTAAGAACTATCCACTTTGTATTTGTTCTCTTTAGTCAACTGTACTTCTTGTTTTATTGTTTTTCTACTCATCTAATGGATAATTAATTATTCTTTTAACAGTTTCTAATAGTTTAGCGATTATCAATGTGTTTTAAAGACATTTTTATTGCTAAAAGATACGTTTTAAAAATTTATTATAAGTGCATAACTTTTCAATTATATAGACCAAGTATAAAACGTTTTAATTTAAACTTTAAGTTGTAGAAGAGAGTGGTGTTTCAAATAAAAAGAATATTGTGGTATTAGTAAATATATATATTTATAATTATTTTAAGTATTCAACAGCAATAAAAAATATATTTTAAAAATTTTTCATTTAAAATTTAAAAACCTGGTTATAAAATTCTTTACTGTTAATATTTTTATATAAGGAAATAATAATAATAATAATAATAATAAATGCCTTGACTCTGGTCCGGCATAGTACACAGCCACCGGTGTGTACCGAGTATAACCCACTAAACCCAACACATAATAATAATAATAATAA